ATTTTTTAAAAATGACGTCACGTATGAGATAGAATGAAGTGATAGGGAAGGTAACTCTCTTTTCTCAACAGAAAATTAGCTGTTCATATAAACCTGGCCCTCTGGTCTCTTCTACACAGAAATATATTTAGAGGGCAGTTGTGTAATATCCTGCCTTTTTATACTTCTGGGTGATTGCCCCAGCACACCCCTCCTCCACTTCCTAATACATAATTTCAGGTGTTTAGAGTGGAAAGTATCTTGTATTTTCTGTATCTGTGTGTATGTAGGTGTTTTAGGTTAAGAAAGGAACTTTGATTTTAGGGCAGTGGTACATTTTGCACTTCCAGAAAAGTAAAATATTTTGGTTTGTGTATTAAAGTTTGTTTTCATTTGAATACAAAAGATTGCCTCTTAGGTTAATGCTGAAGATTGTAAGAGGTCTTGAAAATACTGAGGAACATAGTGTACAATGTAAATGTTTATTAGTAGGACAATTTTGCTATTTGTTAGAAAGAGAAGTATACTTCTATAAACTTAAAACAAAGACCAGTGAATTGTCTGAATGTCTGTTATTTTGTTTGTTATTCTTTGAATAAAAAGCATGTTTTGAAATTTTAGTTTGATTTAGAAATTTTAGTTATGTTGCCACAAAATTTTGACATAAGCAGAATATATAATATTGAGACTAATGAATATTAAATTATTGGGGTCATTTTTAGTTTTGTAGATTTTAAACATCACAAAATTTAGTTTAGAGAAAAAGACTTAGTGATTAGGTAATAAACCATTAAAATTGTCTTTTTTTTAAATTATGATTTGAATATTTGATACATATATTTAAATACTTTTTTACTTATTCATTGCAGCACCTTTGGAAAGTGTTGAAAATTAGCAACATTTAGAAATAAACAGCATAAATGTTCTGGTGATTTTGTTATTTTTTCATGGTTTATCAATTGGTCAATAAATATTGTTCAATAAATATTGATCAGTTTTTCATTTGGACCATAATTTCATTCTTGTTCTTTTAATTTTGTATTATGTTGTAGATATTTATCTCATTTCATTATTCTTTTAAAATACTTAATGTTATTTCAATGTATAACATTCTTTTAAAAATTTCTTTTAATGGGTATATAATATTTTATTGAGAAAATACCCCAAATCATGAAATATTCTTCAAATGTCTTTAAGCGGCTACAATATTGTTATATCTAATAAGAATGTACTGTGACTTACTAAGCATTTCTTTTATTGACCATTTGTTTGTTGCCCATTTCTCTGTTATAAATAATGCTACACTGAACATCCTTACACATGAGTTATGAACTGCATCTCTTTGAAATGATTTCTTTGAAATTATTGCTTCAAATATTGTTTCAAAGGGCTTTTAAGGTAATTACAAAATTAATAAAAATTTATTTTTTTGAAAAGCATTTCCCATACCACCATCAGTTTGGTGGCTGAAAAACAGTACCATAGAGATATAGATATAGATATAGAAATCGATATCGATATAGATATAGATGTATAGCTATAGATATCTGGTGAAGTTGAATTTTTTAATGTTTATGTATACAATGTTCTCATTTTTGTGAATTAGCTGTTTGAGGTTTTTTAATCTTTTCTATGGTGGATGTTAATGTTTTTCCTATTGATAACAGCTATTTATAGATATAAGCCTTTTGCTTTTCATACTTTTGGCAGGCTTTTTTTTTAGTTTATTACTTTTAAAATTGCTTATTTTATATATTCAGAAGTTTTCCTTTTTTTTTTTTTTTTTGGTAGTCTAATGCACTGCTTTTTCTCATTTGTGATTTCTTCCAGGACTTCTTTGCCTAGAAATAACCTGTTGTGAAATGAACTTAAATGTTCACTTATTTTATTTATTTTTTTTATGTATTTTAATGATTAAAAAAATAAGTGTTTTAATCTGTATGGAGTTTATTAGTTTCCAGTTTTTCCAAATACCTAGTTTTCTTAGATTCTTACGTTGGTGATCTTTTTTCTTACTGCTTTGAGTTGCTAATTTTGATCTTAAGTTACCAGGTTTGAGCTATAGTTCTGCTTCATTTACTGGGGATATTTAACTTGGTCCATTGGCCTCAGGAGTTTCTACAGATAGTAAGAAGATTCCTTGGTAGATCCTTTGATGGATTCCTTGATGTACACAACATTATGTGATTATGCCTATGTACATTTTTCTGGGGAAAGAGTTATAGTTTTCATCAGCTTTTCACAGGAATATATAATACAAAATCTAAAGCTAGGTTAACAACCACTGTACCTGGGTCTTATCCATGTAGCAGTAGTGCACTGTTTTATTTGTTGTAGTGATAGTTTAGTTTAGCATCGCATTAAACTTAAATTGGGGTGAGTTTACATCTTTATACTGTGTTTGTTTTTTTTTCTCATAAATGGGATATATTTCCCGCAGATTCCACAAAATGTACTTTTTAAGAGAAACATTGGGAAAATTTGTGATACCTGTTATTTTTCATTAAGGTGTTATTAAACTTGTTCCCTAATGCTGATATGATGTTAATAGGGATAAGTTGTTAGAGGATATAGGACTACGTTTCTATTTTTAATCTGTCTTAGGACATGGTGATATGAAAATAGTGCAAGTATGAAGTTAGAAGTGAGAAAATAGGTTGTCCAGTTAAAGTATTCTTCAATATTTGAAACCAAAATTTTTCATTTACATAGACTTTTTTAATGGAAGAATGTTGGAAAGTTATCTAGTTTTTCTGGCCAGGATGGTGCCTAATGCTATAATAAAGTTAAAAACTTTTATTTTTAGTCCCTTGATAATAGTAAATTATTCTCTAATAAGGATGTTTCTCTAATTATTGGTATAAGTTCATTGTACATTAAATCTATTATTTGTGTTCATTGGCTTCATGAAAATAAATCTAGGAAGTAGGTAGAAATCATGTGTTATTGGCTTTTATTAAACTTTTTAAATGAACAATTCTCATCTTTGGGTCTTTTTCAAGCAAAACCACTTACAGAGATTTGCATATTTTACTTTTTTTATGTGACTTTTGCTCTTACTTGAAAACTTTTTCTAGTTCTGACAAATTATGATACTTAAGTTTTCAGACTATGATAGGTGAGAAATAGCAAAGTAGGGACAGGAGAAGTGGCTACCAGAGAAATGTATATGGATAAGAGGAAGGAGTGATGGCTAGCACCTTGACAGTGAAGATATGTTTCAAGTGTTAGAAGCAAGAATTTAAAGACTTAGTTTTGAGGTTATTTAATTTGGGAATTAGTGTTTTTAGAGCTGAATCCGTATTTATATTATGTTAATTATAATTGATGATCTTAAATGATTCTGAATCAGAATATTTAGTTCTGTTTAACTTGCTCAAGATTTAGTTTAGAAAACCTTCTATTATGATTTTTAAGTTTTGAGGTATATGGAATATTTGTGCACGGGCAAATCTACTTTTTCAAAGAAGTCACATGTGGGGCATATTACAGATAAAATTTAGGTGATGTTTTAACAAAATTTAAATGGTAGAATACAAAAAATCATTAAGTAGCTCTGGGAAGCCATAGTCCCTATAAGTTCCCCAGAGTATCTAGAAATTATGCATCCATTAGTGAAGCCTCTCTTTAGAAATTCTTATCCATTTGACCTTGTTATGTTCTTTATGTAACTCAAGACTTTAAAAATGATTTTGCAGTGTTCTTTCTGAGATTGTCGTGAAATCTACAGAGTAAATCAGCGGTTTATCCTGTCATTTTAGTTTGTTTAAGACAGAAAAGTGAATTCCAAAAAATCAAACTTTGTGCTTCAAGTTACATGGTGGAAACCCATTTTGTATTGGAGGAAGAGAATATGAGTGCTGGCCAGCATTTTCATTTTTTAAATGCCTGCAAAATGAGAAGACCAGGGCACTAGTGCTTATTTGTACAATGTGAATGTCTTCAGTTGTGAATTTTGATCATTTGCATTTTTGAGTCTTTAAGAGAATGATTCTAGCATCTGCTTGGCCACTTTCCAAAAAATGTGATAGGCCTAAGGGTACAGTTGATAGCACCTTCCTGAGAGACTTTATAATTGGATCTACATAAACATAAAAAGTCTGGGAAATGTAGATGACCTGTTAACTTGACTGTGAGAAATATTCTTTTATTCATATCTGCAGTTTTTCTTTGCTCAGAATATTATAACAATATTTTGAGTTGTTTTGTATCTAATAACTATGAATAACTAGCATATACCCTTTAATTTGGGAGAGAAGGCCCCTTTGATGTGAGATAGTAATGTCATAATGTTTTACTGTACAGTTCTTTTCCACTTTCTTTGTTGTTTGTACATACTACTTTGGGGAATTATTGTCTTGGTGGGTATCTGGGAATTATGTTCCGGCACTCTGTGGCACTTTTACATTCTAATGAGAAATTTGACTGTGATTCTCAGAACTGCCATAGCTATTAAAAGATTTCTCCTTGAGTCAGTAGTTCTCAAAGATAATGCCTTCCAGTTGGTAGAAAGGTAAACCTAGAAGGTGAGAATAGAATCTGCCATTTTAAGAACCAGGAGGACAAGAGTTTGGTGAAACAATGAATGACATGACTGCTTCAGCATATTCTCAACTAAGGATTTGGAGTTGAGGAATGTTTCTGACTTCTTACCCTTATTAGATAAATGTCTTAAAAGGAAGAAGTGGTGAAAAATATGAAAGAGAAAAGAGACTATCTTTGAAAATTTCTTTTATTTCTTTTTAGATGGTGTCAGGAGTAATTGGATTACAGTAAAGGCTAATCTGCTCTGTGAGACTATTATGATGGTTTAAGGATGATAAGTGTTTTTCTCCTCTAACAAAGAAGACTGTTTAGAGTTTGTAGGTGGCTTTGACTTAACATATGGTTTCCAGGTTGAACATGACTATTCTACAGTTTCACCAACCAGGGGCAAGGGAGAAAGGGCAGTGGGAGTATACACCTCATTCTTTTGAGAGCATGATCTGGAAGTGGTACATACCACTTTGACTCAAGTTTTATGGGTGTGGATTTAGTCATTGGAACATACTTAGCTGGGAAAGGAAGGCTAGGAAATGTAGTATCTAGCTGGACAATCATGTGCTAGCTAAAATTAAGGAATTTTATAAAAGGGGATAAATGAGTGTAATAGAACAACCAGACCTTTCTGCTACAAAAAGAAGCTGGAGAAGTAGTATCAAAGTAATTCATAATTTGATATTAAAAACTGTTTTTCTGGGGGCACCTGGGTGGCGCAGTTGGTTGAGCGTCCGACTTCAGCCAGGTCACGATCTCGCGGTCCGTGAGTTCGAGCCCCGCGTCGGGCTCTGGGCTGATGGCTCAGAGCCTGGAGCCTGTTTCTGATTCTGTGTCTCCCTCTCTGTGCCCCTCCCCCGTTCATGCTCTCTCTCTGTCCCAAAAAATAAATAAATGTTGAAAAAAAAAATTAAAACAAACAAACAAACAAAAAAAAAACAAAACTGTTTTTCTGTCTCAAGAGTTATAGTTATAACTCTATATCTTCTTTTCAAGTGGAATTTTGAGAACATTTGTTTGTGATTTGTGTCTGAGATTCTAGTTATGTGTGTGTGTGTGTGTTTGTGTGTGTATACCACCAAATAATGGTGCAATTCTTTCCCTTTCTGCTTGCCCTTGCAAATGTATTAAATTATATTTAGCTTTATAAGAATTGGAATTTTAATTTAATTTTAAAATCTCACTGTAATATTTTTTTAACTTTGCTAGTTGCTTATTTTGAAAGATGAAGGACTGCAGGTAAGGACTGTAATGACAGTCGTGAATCGCAGTTATTTGAACTGCTTGCTTTAGTCTAAAGTTGAATTTATGTTTTTTAATTATTTTATTTTTAAGTAATTTCTACACCCAGCAGGGGGCTCAAACTCACTACCCTAAGATCAAGAGTTGCTTGCTCCACTGACTGAGCCAGGAAGGTGCCCCGAGTTTATGTTTTTATATTCTTTTCCAGATCCTGTTGTTTTGTAACTGTATGTGTGAAATATACATTTTGAAGATGGAAAATATAATTTTTGAGGACCTTGTAATGCATACAAGTAAAAAGATTGTGGTTGTAAATTCTTTGCATATAGGTAAAGCTTACTTGTATAATAAGTAGATAATTAAAAGCAGCTTTCTATAGATTATAAGTAAGACACAGTAGATATTTGTTTATGGCACAGACAGTGAAACTGTTGTGGGGGGAGATCAAGGAAATCTTAGAGGGTTGTATTTTAAGGGGTGAATTAGAAGGATATTCTTAGTAAAGGGAATAAATAAGGTGTTCAGAGTATCTATCAGAAACGAGAGGGGCACCTGGGTGGCTCAGTCGGTTAAGCGTCCGACTTCGGCCCAGGTCATGATCTCACAGTTCATGGGTTCAAGCCCCACATCAGGCTCTGTGCTGATGGCTCAGAGCCTGGAGCCTGCTTCAGATTCTGTGTCTCCCTCTCTCTCTGCCCCTTCCCCGCTCACACTCTGTCTCTCTCTCTTTCAAAAATAAACGTTAAAAAAAAAAAAAAAAAAAAGGAATGAGAAAGAAGGTAGTGTGTGAGGAGAACTCTAAATACCACCTTCATATATAGATCCTTGAGTTTTGTAAGTAAGAGTCATTGCTGCCATAGTGCCTACATAATGTAACTAATAAAGGATATTGTTATTCTCAGAAGTTCTCTCATTTCTTTTTTTACTCTGTTTTACTTCCTATCTTGCTTGAAGACATTTATTCCTTTCTACTTCTTTGTTTTTAGTTGCATAATACTTCATAAGCTTCCTGCATTTAAGAATTATATCTTATTGATGTTTTTGACAAATGTCACATGTTAAGGAAAAAACCCTTGTAATTAGGAATGATAAGACCACTATTAAAAGTATAAGATTACTTTCCACATTGTCTTCCTTAAAATTCAAAAATATTTGTTTATTGAAAGGCAAGAATCCTTTTGTTTTAGGCGAAGTGCCAAAAAGCGAAGTAAGATATGCTGTAGTTCTTTTTTTTTATTTAACTTACTATTATCTACAGATGTTAGATTTTTTTTTTAAATAATTGAACATGTAATTTACCTAAGCACCAACTACATAAATGGACAAAAGGTTGGACAGGCAGTTTGCATATGAAAAATTATAAATTGTGAGACAACTTTTAGAAAGAAAGTTTTCCATCTCATTCATTAAGAAATAGAAGAAAGCAAAGAAACACCATTGCTCACCTATTAATAAGTTTCTAAGATTTAACTCTGAAGGACATAATGTGTGTAAATTAATAAGGGTTTGATAAAAAGATGGAATTAAATAATTATTTTGTGTTTTAAGTTTGTGTAATTCTTTCCTTTTCCATCAAACTTAAGTGATATAAAAGTTGGAAGATAGCAAATAAATGAAGAAACAAAAAGGTGAAGGATTTTCCTAAAATCAGTAATATAATGAAATGGAGAGAGCAATAATTTTATATTGGGATCTGGGAATTTAGAGTCTGCCAACACTATTACTTAATATAAAATGGTGGTACTACCTATCTGATAGGGTGGTTGTGAGGGTTAAATGAGATTAGATATAAAAAATACTTAGCAGTTTTTCCTGGCACACTTTTCTGTCTTCAATCAATTGAATCAATTAGGCATGAATATTTAAGAGGCAGCTAGTTGCAGCTATATGGAACCCTCAATGGAGGAGATATATAGAAAATGGCAATATTCTTGATTATTGGAGCTGGAATTTAAATGCATTTAAAAAGTAATTTCAGGGGCGCCTGGGTGGCGCAGTCGGTTAAGCGTCCGACTTCAGCCAGGTCACGATCTCGCGGTCCGTGAGTTCGAGCCCCGCGTCGGGCTCTGGGCTGATGGCTCAGAGCCTGGAGCCTGTTTCCGATTCTGTGTCTCCCTCTCTCTCTGCCTCTCCCTCGTTCATGCTCTGTCTCTCTCTGTCCCCAAAATAATAAATAAACGTTGAAAAAAAAATAAAATAAAAAGTAATTTCAAAAAGTAGTTTTAGAAGACCATTCACTAGTAGAGAAAAATAAGCATTTAAAGAAGTAATCTATTTGCAGGGCACCTGGATGTCTCAGTCAGTTAAGCATCTAGCTCTTGATTTGGGCTCAGATCATGATCTCACGGTCTGTGAGTTCTGCCCATGTCAGACTCCATGGTGACAGTGTGGAGCCTGCTTGGGATTCTCTCTCTCTGCCCTTTCCCTGCTTGTGTTCTGTCTCTCAAAAAAAACAAAAAAAACAAAAAAAACAAAAAAGAAAAAAAAAAACCCAAAACCCAAAACTTTAAAGAAGTCATTTATTTGTAAAGGTTTGTGAAGGAGTCTACCTTTAGAACTGTTTTATTTTAAAAGGCATTTAAAGAATAAAAGCCTTACAAGATTACTAAATTTGCTAAGTTTACAGCCATTTTCTCATTAATTTTTTATCTTCACAGTTGGTCAGGTTTTTTCAGACAATCATCATTGCCAAAGTTAGGGATGAAATAATTTATTTTGGGGAACTAGATCCACATATGCCATCGTTTTTTTGTTTTTTGTTTTTTAAATAAAGGGTGCAAAGTGCTCCCTCTCTCTTTATTAACCCTCCAGGTATGGAACTTGTTGGACATGCTCACTCAAAATTAAAGCCAGACAAATGTCTGTTTCCTTGTAGAATCGTTCATGTGGCCAAGTTCCTGCCCCTTAAGAAACAAATTTCACCACATAAGTTTGTTTTCTGATCTTCTGATTATTTTATTTTGATGTTTTATTTTATTTACACAGGTTTAATGAATAGCTGATTAATATTCAAAGAATTCCCTATTGTCTGGTTAACAAAACTACATACATTTGACATGAGGTTTAAGAGTTAGCTTCCATCTAGGGGCGCCTGGATGGCTCAGTTGGTTAAGCGTCCAACTTCAGCTCAGGTCATGGTCTCATGGTCTGTGAGTTTGAGCCCCACGTTGGGTTTTGTGCTGACAGCTCAGAGCCTGGAGCCTGCTTCACATTCTGTGTCTCTCTCTCTCTGTTCCTCCCCTGCTTGCATTCTGTCTGTCTCTCTCAGAAATAAAGATTAAAAAAAAAAAAGAGCTTCCATCTAGATGTTTTGTAAAGTGTAATAACTTATCTGCTTGGTTACAAGATCAGGAACCAAGAGCCATCTAATTTATCTCAATGAGTTTTCACCTGCAATACTTAAAACTGTAGGGTATTATGGTTCTGAGATTTATGCATTTGTCAATATTGTTCTGTCAGGAAATGATATTCTTTATTCTCATTAAACTTGGGAATCCATAAATTATAGAAGAATTACTAAATTGAATTTCCGGGAGGACTTACGAGGCATCATTTTTTGCATTTGCAGGGCAGTCATTTCTACATTTGAGGTGTAGTCTTTGTTCCCTGTCATACCTAATTATAAGCTACCTCTTTTTTTAAATGTCACATTTCTCTTGTAGTCATGGTTACCAATTTGATTTATCCAATTTTATCCTGACAGGAAGGAAAACATTCTTATTGGAACTTTGTAAACTAGTTTATAAAAAAGTAAAGAGATTCAGTTTAGATAAAGCCAATAATATTTTCAGTATTTTTCTACAGAATGGCTTTTTAATTGTTCTGGTGGCTTATTAATTATAACCAATGTTAAGATCTTTCACAGGATATTTTCCCCCTGGAATTCTGAAGATATTAGATCAAGATATTATTATTTATACAAAATGTATTAAAATTTTTTTTAATGTTTATTCATTTTTGAAAGAGAGAGACAGAGCACAAACAGGGGTGAGGTAGAGAGAGAAGGGGGACACAGAATCTGAAGCAGGCTCCAGGATCTGAGCTGTCAGCACACAGCCCGACACAGGGCTCGAATTCACAAACTGCAAAATTATGACCTGAGCCAAAGTCAGACGCTCAACTGACTGAGCCACCCAGGTGCCCCTATATGAAATATATTTTAAATTGAAGGTTAAGATAGATTAAGAAGAAAGTGTTTTCTCTTGTAACCGTTAAAAATAAAAAAAACATAGTTAAGTCAGTTCATTTACTTGTAAGTAATTCTTGTTTCACTGATCTAGGGTTAAGTAATCTATTTACACAAAGTTGTCTGCACTGGACTAACAGAATCGTAGAAATCCTTACCAATTCTCTTGATTTAGTGATTACAGATGTTGATTCATGAAGGTAAGGTCAGCTTTATCCCAGGATGCCTGTATCCAGGAGTCTCTTCTACATAACAGTAACAGTTCAGATGATTTGGTACAGTCCTTTACTAAGGATCTTTTGATGTACATCTTTCCTTCTTTCCTTGGGTACAGTGGCAGCAAGGATGTTGACTCATTTTTGTTTCTTGAGTCTCATTGCTACAGTTGGTCTAGTTGCTCTCTTCATATGGTATACACTGCTGTTATTAGAATTTTATTCACAATGTTTGGATTTCCTTTACCACTTGTCTGTGTAGCACCCTTGTTTTCCATGTGTCATGTCTTTTTGTTGGTTTATTCATTAGAGGAAGAAGACCGTATTCTCTAGTAGCTTTTTGAGAAAGAGTAAATGGGAAGTATATTTTGTGAAACTGTATGTATCTGAAAATTATCACTATGTATTAGATACTTGATTGATAGTTTGGCTAGGTATAGAAACCTGGGTTGGAAAATATTTTTCTTCAGA